AATTAACTGGACTTAGTAGCTAAATGGATAACGTGATGGTGTTTAGAGAAAACGGTACAGGGTTCGAATCCCGGGGTGAACACCAACTCTGAGATGGAAGCACATCCAGCCACTGAGTCTCAAATAGAACGAAACGCGTGTCCTGGATTCCACTGCTAGCCACCATCATCTCCGCTTATAATACTAACAATACTGTTTGTTAGTCGAATTATTCGTATTTCTCTTAATACTAAGCTTTTGAGAGTTTGAATTGTAAGTTCGTTGAAATGCAGTACTTATTCTGTTAAGATCTGATTTGTCGACTTTTATTTTCAAAAATGACTTTAAATTTGATAAAACGTTTATTCGAATACTTTTCCTATCGACTAGCTAAAGGTCGAATATAATATAAAATAAGGAAAATGTACGAAATGTAACTATTAATCAAATTTTTTCAAGTCTTTAAGCAAATAGGAAGAATATTTAGAAATCTTATTAAATACGTTCTGGTGTCATGCAAAAGGAGCTTGGTTTTGATTGATCACTAATGAAGTGATTGATTGTTCATTATTTTAACTTTTTTCTTATAAACAGATATATTTGCAAAACGAAAGGAGGCAAGCAGACTAATCTAATATTTTAAAAATAGTTTTTTACTAACGTAGTACCCAACCGTTGTAAAATTACTCAATCAAAGTTAGACGAGAATACATAATTACAGTTAAGATACTACTACTGAAAGAATTACAAGTGTTCTGAAAACATTTCTTTGATTGAGAATATTCTATACAATACTGATAGTTTCATGAATTTGTTAAATACAAACCTAAATCTCAGTTGAATTAATTACTTTCCTAAGTCTGTGTACAGTGAAAATAGATACTAATAAGCAAATACATCAAATTGAAGATTTATTTCTTCAAGGCTTTAAAGATCCAGCAACATTTTAATCTGATTTCATAAATGATTCATTCATTCATTTACGCTTGTTACCCATAGTGGAGAAGCATAGGCCACAAACCACCATTCTCCATCCAACTCTGTCCTGGATAAATCTATCCAGTTGTTTCCAATAAATATTCATTCCTTTCATATCTGCTTCCGATTCTTGACGCAGTATGTTCTTAAGCCTTCTTCTTTTTCGTTTCCCTTCAGGATTCCAAGTTAGCCTATGCCTTATGACGCAGTCCGATGATTTACATAATATATATCCTATCCACCTTCAACATCGTTTACGTAATTTCCTCATCAGTTGGAAGCCGGTTTATTCTCTCTTACAGTAGGTTGTTGCTGGTGATATCTGGTCAACAAACATTGATTATCTTACATATACAATGATTTATAAATACTTATACCTTTTTGATGATAGTTATAATAGTTCACCAAGTTTTAACGCCATACAATAGGATACATAAATGATTGATTAACTTCTATTGACTAAAAATAGAATCTTTAATCAATATACTTGTATGTTTTATTATGAACAAATGATTTTTCAATAACAATATTACTAAATATAGTAAGTATAATCATAATACAGAAGAATAAACATGCGTCAAAATTAGTTGGTATATAAAATTAGTTACAATCCGATAAAAAAAATACAAAAAAAAATACTTGCATGGCAACAAATTATTATTATTATTATTAAAATAATCATAATGAAAAATTAAAACATTCATAAATCTTTGGATTTTTCTTTTTAACAAAATAAAATCATATGATGATGTTTTTTAGTTAAAAATTGTTAATCTACTTGTAAAAATTTGAAATTAATTAGTAATATATATGATTTTTTTCTTATTATTTTTTAAAATAAACATTAATTAATAATAAGCCAAAATTTAGATATTTTATTTAAACAAAATTAAGCAATCAGATATAATGAGTATAGACCCTGGTAAAACAAAAATATGTGTTATATAACCAAGTTGTCATATTAACAAATATATCAAATATAGTATATTATGGTTCGAAAAGAAAGAAAAAAAATAATGGAAATAATAATACGTATGAATGAATATTAAAGTTCAGTATATAGAGGATGATAAATAGGAAGTGCATTTGAGCTTTTGTGATTAAATCTATCAGTTAAATAGTTATTGTAGTTACTATGCGAAGCTCTATCGGGTAGTTTCTAAATACCAATATGGTCTAGATCAATTGTCAATGACTTCACTCATAGATACCAAGTTTAATTTTTCTTAGCTTTTTTAATCTACTCATTTATTTATTTATTTAAACAAATAAATATTGTTACAAAGAGGCACCAGATATATATGCGCAGCACAAATCTCATTTGATTTGTATCAGGGCTGTGATACTGCCCAGGTTCCCAAACTGAGGCAGATGGTTTACTTGAGGGGCCACATCCGGAGCCGCTGACCTAAAAATCTAATCCACAAAGCAGTGGAGTATCGTGAGGGGATGCAGTCCAATGGTAGCCGGTGACCAACAATTGGTTCATACGCCATTTGTTTCCTCAGGATACTATGACTCATGCAAACCATTGGTTTGGAGTGAGGGTTTTCCAACTCCCCTAGGTGGACTTTCTGTGTTCACCAACCCGGTTAAAGCACCGGACGTTCACTTTTCGTCCTCTCAATCTCATAAACAACACCGGTGCCACGAGAAGGCAGTGAGTAGGACTTCCCTGGCAGAGGCTATATACGCGTGGCCATGTGACAGGATTTCGAAAGGGAAAGCGGGCTCTCCCCACTCTTGGCCGTACCATGGCATAAGTCCACTTACTACCTGTGATTAGTATTTTACCCTGTTATTTGTCCTACAATACCTGAGCACCATTTCAAAGATAAGCGCAATCGAAAAACTGTAGCCTATAAATATCCATTTTCATAGGATATATTTCATTGTCATTGAACAAAATGGGGTAAACTGTTGTACAGTATATACTTCATTTATTGTTCAGGTGTCTCGCTTATATCACAGCTACAGAACACACAACTTTGATGGACACTGGGTGAATTTATCAATTTTGAAGAAAGCTTGCAGTAGACTCGACACGGACCACAAGTTATCGAGTAAAATGCATTTATACGGTTCACATACATTTCAGACACATCCTTTAGCATAAATACTGTTACTGAACGTCTAGGCTGACGGAGCATAATTCTGTCTTAAGGTAAAGTAATATTATTACATTCAAAGGTCAATATTCATCCCTGTGTTTTACTAAATGCTGAAGGGTGCAGGAGTCTTTAATATGTCCATGCCCAGATCTGAAGTCTCTTTGTTTTTCTCAGATCCACTGTTACCAAGTTTTATTTAGGCATCAGGTCATTACGAATAGTGATATTTTAAGAATAGTAAAAAATATCAGTTTGAGCATATTTAGTACTTATATTTTCTAGGATAATATATAAACCAAAACCCGTAAAGATGAACATGGCATTACTAACACAGTCCTCATAAACCATATCTCATCTGTTTAATTATCCCTTTTTATGAATCAAATTTTGAATTTCAGTTTGTTTTATTGAATAATTGAAATTAAGCAAAGATGGATAGTGGCTAGCAGTGGAATCAAGGACGCGCGTTTCGTCCTATTCAGAACTCGTCAGGTGGATGTACATACATGAGTTGATGTTCACTCTGGGACTCGAACCCAGTACCTTTCGCTTCAATTTTCATCGTGTTATCCACTCAGCTATTGAGTTTGAAGCGAACGGTAGTGAGTTCGAGTCCCAGAGTGAACATCAACTCATGTATGTACATCCACCTGACGAGTTCTGGATAGGACGAAACGCGCGTCCTTGATTCCACTGCTAGCCACTATCCATCTTTGTTTATTAAGCTTGTGATTTCAAGCGATCGCGAGTCAGTCCTCACAGGACGCACATATGTCAACAAGAGACTGTTCGACTGCACTCCTAAATATTAATGGGAAGATACAAGTAAACACCATCAAGTGAATTGAATTGAAGATTTGAATAAATATAATAAATATTTTTATATTAATTAAAACAATACTAATAAAATGTAACTATTTTCATCTTTTTTTCATTTACTTAAAATAGAAAGTATTCAAATGAAAGTAGGCTGAAATACTTTCAAAAATATAAAATAACACATACATTCTTCATAAGAAATATTAATCCAGAAATATCCTGGAAGATATACAATTAAATTTTTTTTATTTAAAAAAAAATAAAGGTATAAAATGGAAACGAACCAATTTTAATCATATCATTCATAATTGATCATTGCCAATGATCACCAAAAATGTAGAGTTTACTATTATGATCAACATTTTTCTATGATAGATTTATCATGTAGTTATTTTCCATGACATTAAAGAAAAGATATGAATTCTGTTGTTTCCTGAATAGTATTAACGTATAAACGGTATGTTTCAAAATGGAAAGTTCTTATACAAATACAGTATGTATAAAATGAGATACAATTTATTATGTAGAAGTGGTTTTAAACGCTAAATTTGAGAATTTCTTTGAAATCTTGGACCGTTACAAGTTGGAACACCACTGAAAATCTTGAGTGATTTGACGGCCGTATAACACTAGTATGAAACTCCTCAACAGTGCATATCCAAAACCTCATATTTGGAAATGGAACCCGAAACGTTCTGTCTCACATGCAAACAATTTACCTTTAGACAACTGAGCAGGGACCCAACGTTACTATTGTCCAGCTTTAAACAATCTGAAATTCAAGGAAATAATTTTGAAATTTTGCTGTAATACTGCTCAGGTGCCCAAAATGAAACAAGTGGTTTTCTTAGGGGGCCACACCCGGAGTCGTTAACCTAAAAATCTGATCCACAAGGTAGTGGAGCACTGTCAGGAGATGCAGTCCCATGGTAGCCAGTGATCAACGATTGATTCATACGTTATTTGTTCCTTCAGGATACTGGAGCCCATGTGCACCATTTTACCTACAATCAAATCACATATTGATAAAATAATTTACAAAAATTAAGACTGATTTACATAATCAGTAGTTATTTTAGCGGTTATTGATTTCAGTATTTTAAATACAAAAAAAAATAAATCAATTTATAACATGATAATCATATATGGAAATGTAATTTAAATAGGCTAGTACTCATTAAATATGAGTAATTTTATAATACTTGAAAAATTCATTATTAAATAGAATAATAATGGGATGTTGTTGTCGATCAGATCAAATGAATCATGAAAGAAAATATAAACAGTGGAATACTTATACAATATCATGTTATGAAAATTGTAGTAAGTTTTGATAAATTATACATGCATAGTGTTAACCAATTTCAATAAACTGAAATGTATTAGAAATTCACTGATGTAATATACATTGAGTATTATAACTGTTTCAAATGAAAATTATTACAAGTTCAGTGAAGTAGTCACAGTTTAACGTATATATGTTAGTTTAAAAACCAAATTAAGTGCTAGCGCGAACTATAATGGAAAAGTATATTTGTAGTCTATTTAGTCGTTAAGGCTTTAGTTGGTGAAATATACATATCTGATGTTATCTATTGATAAGCTACAATTTAATGTATCAGAAACATAGTTGTTAAAATGCAAATGATTAGTTCATTTCATTTGTCACAATAATGAACGGTGTAGACTTATGTAACGTATATACTTACGCCTGTTACCCTTCGTGAAGGAGCATAAGCCGCCCACCAGCATTTTCCTTTCCAGTTCTTTCCAGTTAACATCCATCTTTTTAATATCTAATTCTATTTCCTGACGTAATGTGTTCTTTGACATTCCTCTTTTCCGCTTCACTTCAGGACTCCAAGTTAGGGATTGCCTCGTGATGCAGTTTGGTGATTTCCTTAATGTATGTCCTACCCACTTCCAACGTCTTTTCTTAATTTCCTTTTCAGCTGGAAGCTGGTTTGTCCTCTCCCATAAAACGCTATTGTTGATAGTATGCGGTCAGTGAATGTTGAGTACATTGTGTAAACAACTGTTCATAAACACTTATACCTTCTTGACGATGGATGTAGTAGTTCTCCACGTTTCGGCTCCATACAGTAGCACTGTCTTGACGTTCGTATTGAAGATTCTCACTATGAAGTTAGTTGACAGTTGCTTTGACTTCCATATGTTCATCGATTGTAGAAATTCTGCCCTCGCTTCGCCAATCTTCGCCTTATGTTAGGTTCAGCCTTATCTCAGTATCGTTTCAAAAAGAACATTCAGTTTGCAGTTGATCAGTAGTATATATATATATCAGTGGTTTATGAGTGAATAAAAATAGTGAAATCAACCATCTGATAGCTAAGGTTATTAGGCCGATAATTATCAACACTTAGATAATAATAATAATAACGAAATATACTCAATTTTTAAAGTAAGGGTAATTTCCAAATGTTTAATAACTACTTTTTGCAGATTGTATATAATATTTCAAAAGAATAATTTGAACAACATAGTACTTCTAGCTAAAACTTACACTGTGATAACAATTCAAAATTCCCACATTTCCGAGTTACAGTATACTTGTCTTAATTCTTTTTTCAAAAACTTACCTAGTGTTTTTTCTATCAGTATAAAAGTGATATACACGAGGTTTTACTTTTTCTATACTCACAAACTGAAACTATCACAAACATTATCAGCGAAAATGGATAGTAGCTAGCAATGGAATCGGGGACGCGCGTTTCTTCCTATGTGGGACTCGTCAGCTGGATGTACTTGGATCTCAGAGTTGATGTTCACTGTGGGACTCGAACTCAGTACCTTTCGCTTCAAACGCCATCGTGTCATCTAGTCAGCTACTCAGTCCTGATAGTCACTTGCTTGTGCTTGGGACTCGTCTCAAATAGGACGAAACGCGAGTCAAACTGGATTTCACTGCTAGCCACTATCCATCTTTGCTTATAATGCTTGTGAATTAAGATTATATCGAGGCAATACGCACGGTATGTACATTTGGCCAATAAGAGACTGACTAGTTGCAGTCCTAAGCATCAATGGGAAGATTCAAACAAACAATACTAAGTGAATTTTCAATATATAGCTTTTAAGATGTAGCATTATACAACTTTAATTGGTTAATTTCAGGAAATTTATTATTTATTTATCATTAGAATCTAGTAAAAATAAAATAATTATGAAATATTATGACGTAATAAGTTATGGTTAGAACTACTATGTTGTTCAAATCATTCTTTAGAAATATCATATACAGTTTGTTAAAAGTAGTTATTAAACATGCTACTAAAAATCTGTCTAATAAATGTACTTTCTTTCATTTTATTTGAATGAATATGTATGAATCTTAGACTTAACTAAGTTGTTCTTCTATTCACTCATATAAATACAGTTTTAGATTGATTAAGTCTCTGTCAGACGAATTTTATTTATTGTTTTTATTAGTATTACTGTAAATAATATACACAAAAAATTCAAATAGAGTTAAACTACTGTATTCAACACGAAGACGAGTGGGGACAATCGAATGTACTTAGGCATGAAATTACAGACTATCCCACTAAAACTATTATTCATTTGTTTCAATCTTGACTGTTCCTTTTGCAAATATCAGTCCATCTTCTTTGATTTCATTGTTCATGCATTTTCATACCGATTGAGCTTCATTCCTGTTCTTTCCTTATCGATCTTCTGCCAAAATACATTCTATACCTGACCATCACCATATACTACTTATGTATATATAAGTAACCTATACCACACTACTACTAATCATCATTTAAAATCTTCTTTAAAATAATTAATAAAAGAAACCCTAAGAATAATTCATTTAGTATTGTTTGTTTGAATCTTCCCATCGATGTGTTAGGACTGCAACTGGTCAATCTCTAATTGGCATATGTGCATACTGTGTGTATTACCTTGATATATATAGCTTTAAATCAACTCTGAAATGCAGGTACATCCAGCTAACGAGTCCCAAATAGGTCGAAATGCGCGTCAAACTGGATTCCATCGCTAGCCACTATCCATCTCTGCTTAATAATAATGTTCTTTTTATTGAAATAATCATTTTATATGAACTTAAAACAACAACAAACTATACAGAATTACTCAGAATTAACTAAAAGTTTTGCTTAGATTATTTCAAGTTAAATTATCGATTTATAATAGTAAATATGGTAATTCACCTTCATTTATATTTTTAACCTTAGAATATTGAAGGCATCATCATTATCATGAATCATTATTCTATTAATATAGGTTATTGTTAACATTATTAATTATTATTATTATTATGATTACTAATATTATTAATTTATTGATTTTTATATGATTATTGACTCACAAAATTTGAAATTATCACCAAAAGAAAAAAATGAGTCATTTCGTTTATTGAAAGAAGTAAAAATTTTGTAATAACAATATTGAATTCATTTATATATATACTACTTAAAAACTATTTTGTTAATCAAATATTACTTTGTATTTTCAGGTAATTGTTGGTATTGTTTATGTTGTTGTCCATTTGTAATGGCTGAAATTTATCATTATACTTGGTCAATACCATGGTTAATAGCTTTGATATTTTCTATTCTGTTATTACCATTTCATATGTTGATCATATTATTATTACGTATGAAAATTCGACGTAAACATAATTTAGAAGGGAATTGTTTAAATGATTTATGCTGCTTTATTGGTTGTTGTTGGCCAATGATAATTTGTCAATTAAGAGATGAAATTTTATATTTACGATCAAGATCTGAATGGAAATTAGGTTATTCAAATCGATTGAATGATAAACCACCTTGGATAAAAATGTTTACGAAATCAAAAAAAGGAAAGAACAATGATGTAGAAAGTTTCATTATCAATAGTGATAATGATGATGATGATGATGATGATGATGATGATGATGATGATGATGATGATGATGATGATGATGATGATGATGATGATGATGATGATGATGATGATGATGATGATGATGATGATGATGATGATGATGATGATGATGATGATGATGATGATGATGATGATGATGATGATGATGATGATGATGATGATGATGATGATGATGATGATGATGATGATGATGATGATGATGATGATGATGATGATGATGATGATGATGATGATGATGATGATGATGATGATGATGATGATGATGATGATGATGATGATGATGATGATGATGATGATGATGATGATGATGATGATGATGATGATGATGATGATGATGATGATGATGATGATGATGATGATGATGATGAAAACTGAGCCCACAAGAAATGACGACAACGAAGAAGACGTAAAACAAATTAATAAAAATGAATGTGAAGTTGACAGTAAGATGAATGAAAATACACTTTCAACATCAAATATTATATACAAACTATTGTATGTTTCAATTTGTGTTTGTATTCGATTTCAATTTGCTATATTTGCTAAGTTTTCGTCTGATAAATATTTTTTATAAAACAGAAAGATACTAATCATGTTTTTCATGTTATAGTAATGAAAATGTTTTGTTGTTGTTTGTTTGTTTTTTCGTAATAATAAATCATTTAACATAAAACCTGAAAGTATTGATTATTATATCATTTATATTACATAATTTGAAATTTTACATAGATAAAGATGTTCAGTTTTTTACTTTCAAAAGCAAACCATTGAAGTTACCATGAAACTGTAATAACATCGTGGGCGCGCACTGATGAGGAGTCCCACAATAGGACGAAACGGCCGTCCAGTGCTTCTAGGTTATTTCTAGCACTCATAATCAAAAACGTAAGTTTAGTTTGACAATGATTGCGTAGACCCAAATAGTAACACCCTTCAGTGAGTAAACTTTACTAGAACCTAGTTAAATATCTGCCATTTGCATTCTGCACATCAAACATTATAACACAACATTAAAAATCAAAAACAAGCTTCCTCTTAATTGAAGCATAACCTTAGTATTTATCGTTATAATCAATTAGCTTAAAATAAATAGTTCTATAGGCGCTAGCTATTGATGCTTACCCTTCTTAATCAAGGAGTAAACAAGGTGACGGCCGTAAATCAGAAATTACCACCAAAACTTGGTATTATGCGTATGAGGTATTTCTCGGATCTATTTGAAAGACAACCTGGCAAACTCAAAATCGTTTTTCACTATGCATGACTATGATCTCTGATCGTTTCTGTAATATGTTCAAAACCAGGGTATCAGTGTGGTGTATGCTACTTATATCGACAGACATAAGTTGCATGTAACACCAATAAGAAACAGACTGCCTGGCAGCAGAAGGTTGAGGAGATCGAATTGAAAAGAAGAATGTAAACAGAGTAATTATAGTATCAACTCGAACGAAGGAACGATCATGTTTGGAAGAGACAACTGATGAAAGATATGGAAATCAAGTATTTAGTGTATGGTTCCCATATTTTGCCGAAGCACTATGTAATTTTACATCAATAAATAAATTGGCCTTTCCCACCAAGTCTTCATTCATTACATCTGCATATCACGATTTTAATGTATCGTGTCATATCACCTAGAAAATTAAAATTTAAGGAGTCCGTAGGTGAGTATCTGAAGAAACTCTTCAAATCTGTTTCTGAAAATCCAACTCAAAGGCATAATGGGAAACTTACTGAAGGAGGAAACATATGTCTAGTTGCTTTCTTGACATTCTCGGTTTTTAATGTCTTCCCATTCGTTTTATTTTATGTGTATGTTCATACTACTTCCTAATATTCAATAACCAGTTTTATTTTCGATAATTTCTGAACGTACGTTTATTTGTCGTATAATATTCTAATGTATTTACATAAACTAATCATATTTATCATATGTATCACAGTGATTGCATTATCCTCGCCCATTTGACAGTTGCGGACAGTTGTTCATGCATTCCTCAAATGTTTCTTTGGGCAAAATTTCCATATATGTGTGCTTTTAGTGCCTATTTTATATGCTGATTGTTACTGCTGGTTTTAGACACAGATAACAGCTGTAATTTGTGTTATCGCATCTTATTATTAACATTTGTGTCATTACTTCTTTACACCTTTCACTTTTCAGACGTACAGATACTTGACGAGCTGAATTTTGTACTCGATCTACGTATATCTCGTGATAATAAAACAGTTCTTTAAATACATAATTGTTGTGTTATTAGACCCTGATAGATATGTCTCAAATAGTGACTTCCACTGACGCTTACACCGATTTATTTTAACCTTTGAACATACTAGAGGGTGGAAAATGTGTCTAATGATACATTTTATCTTCTTAGTTATACCATTGTATTACTCATATCCGTCTTAAATGTATGTTCTTGTTATTAGTAATGCAACTATTTACACGGTAGGTAATTATTAACCTTCACACGCTTACTTTCAAAGATCAAAGCATGCCTGTCTGTTTATAACTTATCCGCCTACTAGCTTCCGCTTCATTTTTAATGTTCGAAATATATAATCTGTGGCACAAGATAATATTGAAGCTGATGTGTTTTTCTCCTGCATGTAAGTCTATTTGGAATGCCCGTGTAACGGAGAGAACACCCTGAAAATCCCTCCAAAACAATTTATTGGACAGTATTGTTGGTTATTTGTCTCTTCGCTTTGTCTTACATTTTAACCTTTATTCAGGAATTTTCTCACCGCACTTAACTTTCTTCAGTCTTCCTCATTTGAGCTGTTATTATGTGGCTTTGGTAAAAGACTTACCTTTTGTTATTTCATTTTACTATTGCATGTTGTCAAACTACTGACAATAAAGTCATATTTGGCAAAACTGATGGTCACAATATGCTTTAGTGTAAGATTATTATTTTTTACTGTCTGCTTGGAAAGCTTTCTGGAATCCTTGTACATAGATATCTGATCCCATCTTATTAAGAGTACCTCGAACGGCATAACCTGCGGTATAAAGTCAGTAGTTTTTTAATACGAACTAACGTGCTAAACATTTGGAAGAATAGTTGATAAACAAGAGTTAGATACCTGAGAATCACTAAAAGTATTCCCAATACAACCTTATTGTCAATAGTCTGGCAACATACAATAGTAAAATTAAATAACAAAAGGCAAGTCCTGTACCAAAGCCACATAATAAGAGCTCAGAAGAGGAAGGCCGAAGAACATAAGATGAGGTTAGAAAAGTCCCGAATAATGCAAGGATCATCTTTATGAGACTGCCTTCTGAATGAGGGAAATTCTGCGGTATCCACACGGCATTCTTAGATTTCATCAGCTGACTGGATGGTTAGGAAACCATCTACGCTAACAGCACTAGTGAACCTTGCACGAAGGAGACTTGAATGATTTGAGTGGTTGGCATCTTTTCATAGTGTAATTCATATGGCCACTAATAGTTCGATTTCCAAACGACTGAGCCAACTACCTAGTTTCTACTAAGAATTTTGTCACCTTTGTTCAGCAAACTGAGAGGAAAATCTGAATGGTGTGACACCGTAGATTTTATGACGGTGCTGCGTTTCGACATATCTTCATATGTGTTGGTGTCTGCTCTATCAAAACCGATACCGTGGAAGATCTTGGTCCTTACCACGCGGCGAGCCTTTGGTTGCTTATCCGTTTTAAGACTGGTTTTCTACAGGGTTGAGGACAGCTTTTCCGTAAACCTGTCAGAAGACATAATATTCCTCATTATAGAAGTAAATAGTACCAGGTTTTTATTCATTTTTAGAGTTACTTTATAAGTGCCCTGTTAAGGTAGGTAAGAAAGGTGAGTTGTTATCAGATGCATAATTAATCATATGTAATTGAATCCGAACACTATTTGAAAAAGACAATGCCAATTTTCTTAACCAAGTTTATTTTATCTTGCAGATGATTTACGAAGCGTCAAGCACTCTGTTCTGGCCTCAAATGAATTTATTACAGTCACAGTAAACGCCGAGAGTATCGTATTTTTCCCAAAGTAATTTTGAGTACATTAGCAAAAAGGACAGTGGTACTTTTCCTCTTACAGTAATTTTTTAGTATTGATTGTATCCAGAGGTGTAATGGCTTTTTTTGGATTTTTCCAAGTTCGATTCTTGTTTTCAGTAACAGTAACATACAAACTTCAGCTTTTCGTGCCCAGTATCCATCGCCTTTAAAGACTTAAAAAACACTTATTCTAGAGATCAGATTCTTTATTATTCTCTCTGCGAGATCGCTCAACATTTTTATGGCGCAAGTAAAACCTCATTATGGTGGGTTCGTGTGTTTTTTCCTACCGGGGATTAAGGGAGTTTCAGTCATGATTACAAGAAGAAAGAAAAAGGACTCTGAAATTCTTAAGTTTAGATTGTACAATCACCATTAAAAGAGTTGGAAAGGTTTGAGGTTGATTAGTCCATATAATGTAGACCAAGAGGGTCTGAAACTTATGACAGCTATTGCTCGTATCACAGAAGGAAGGATTATTCTATATGAATCGTAGGAGCACCAGTAAGTTTAATTGTCGACCCACTGCCAACACTGTCGACATGTCTTTTGAGCAGTCAAAACTGCCAAGACATAGGTAGGAAGCAGTGATGAGTCCGACCATGAAAATGGGTTTAGAAGTTTGGCAACTAACTATTGGTCAGTCAATGCGACTGGTGTTGTGATCAGAATAATGAGGAAGATTAATTGGGTTGTCATTCCTCGTCAAATTGAAGGGGGTAATGAGATACCCGACCTACTTCCAACATATTACTGTAGTTTATGAGGTAAATTAACACTGACTTGCCGTATACTGAACGATAAGTTTCGCATTATTATTTGCTATATTTATCTTTCACCTAAGATTGGTCGTACTAGAAGGAATTCTCAGACAGTTCAGAAGCCATCATCAAATCGTCTACGTCTAGAGTTTCTCTTTTCAGATCGAGTTGTAAATTATTAAAACTGTCTAACAGTACATGTAGTACCAACACCTTCGGTTGACACATACAAAGGGATATTGAGTCTTCACAGTAATAGAAATCGGAAGGTTTAACATAGGTCACTTGATCTGCCATTTTCATCTCTAAAGACTGAGGGTTGAAACTCCATTCCATCACTCGCGCGCTTTTTGAACGGAAAGTTTAGTCGTAGCGTAATTTACATTTCTCAAACTTTTGCTGTGTTCTTACGCAACAAAAGTACCATTTCCGACCTAAATAATATATTCTGAGCTATATGTTCGGTAGATTGCTTCTTTTTGTGTTTCACTCAACTTAATAGTTAACTGTGGTTTTGCTTCAGCTTACAATCGGTTTTTTATAGTTTACACGTAAAGACTAGCTTTTAGCTTATCGTTAACCGTTTTTATCCACTTTCGCCGGTTTTTGTGTACTGCTTTTTTAAACGGTCCTTAATCTACTGCTTGTGTTTTTAAGACTGTCTAAATCATTATCCATGAAAAATTCACTCAAAAGACCTGGTTGCCGTTTCGCTGTTACATCTGGCATGCAATGTGACGACTGCAAAGGTTGGTTCCACGAGGCATGTATAGATCTAATAAAAGCAGCCTATAGCAGATTCAGCAAGTCTGAACGTATATGGCTATGTGTCACGTGCGACACCGTTACCGTAGTCATGCTGGGTACCATCA